GCGTGAATACAGCCATGTTCGAATCAAATTTAATGCCGAAATGCTTCGACCCTTTGTATTAACTGTGCTACTATTAAATGCATGAAATAAACATTTTGATTATGCCCTGTCAATGCCCTGTCATCCAAATGCCCTGTCATCCTAATGTCCTGTCATCCAAATGCCCTGTCATCCAAATGTCCTGTCATCCTAATGCACCGTCATCGGAACACTCTTTTCATCTTGCAAAATATACTGTCAAGGGTAACGCTTCTTTCAACTGGCTAAATATTCTCTTATCGTTAGGGTTTTGTTACCTGACTTAACACATTGCCAACAGTATACTCCTTTCATTGTCTCGCTGCAATAAAATTATTCCCGCTTTTCGTCTGCTGAATATACTGTTATCATCACCCTATTTCATCCAACTAAATACATTGGAAACATTACGTTCCTTTCTTGGACTCACTGCAAAACCATTATTCCCGCTTTTCATCTGCTAAATATACTGTCATCATCACCCTCTTTCATTCTACTAAATACATTGGCAACGGCACACTCCTTTCGTAAGATATAGGCTAATGCAGTCAATATTAGGCTCCGTCCATCTAAATGTACCGTCAGCAAATGTACCGGGAACTCATCCAGAAGGATGTGTTCTACCAACATTACCCTCCTTCATTCAAAAGTTAAGCTTAGGATTTTAACCCAGGAGATATCTGGTTGATAGGCTGCGTCCTGCGTTATATTTGACTACAAAATTGTATCTACAGTGTCATTTGGTGGAAAGGTGCGTTCTGTTGTCGCGATATCTGTCGTTTGATGTAACGATGTAGTCATCTCATCGGAGGCTTCAAATGCAGTTGAGGTAGATAATGATGTGGATGGGGCTTCAGTCACACTGACCCCATCGATTATTTCAATCCAACGCGTCGTGTTGTCATTCTCAGCGGAGAACCAAAATATAAGATTTGCTTCGGTGAATGCAGAAGCGAAATTTGTGATTGATAGAGGATTCCCCTCTAGGCGCAGCCATGAAAGATTTTCAAATGTTACAAACGCTCTGTTTGATATACTCGTAATATCATTATATGAAAGGTCCAAATATTTCAACTTTGTGCTGGTCTTGTAAAATGCAGTGTATGTTCTTCTCAGTTGGTTATGACTAAGATAAAGATATGTCAATCTGGTAAGCGATTGAAATCTATCTCTACCACCTAGAGACTTAAGTTGATTATGTTCTAAATGCAGTTCCTCAAGATTCAGCAGTTTATTAAAGCACTTTGGTTTTAGGTTTGAAATACGGTTCCGATCTAACTGTAAAGTAATTAAATTCCGTAATCTGGAAAATGCATTTCCTGGGATGAATTGAAGGATATTGTTTGATAAGTCTAAATATACTAACTTTTTGACTGGATAAAAAGCTGGTTTTGTAAGTTTCTTTATAATATTTTTTGAAAGTCGTAGAACAGTTAGATGCTGACTGATTTGGTCATCTGAAAATACATCATTTTTTAATTTGAATATATTATTCGAGGATAAGTCCAAAACTTCAATAATGTTTATTTTTGAGTCAAGCTTCTGTATTGTATTCTTGGCCGTGGTGAGTATACCGTTGCAATCATATGTCCATTTATCCGTGTGGGGTGTGCCTTGACAGTCACATTTGAATTGAAAGACAACCTTTAGGCTTTTCTCATCTAAATCAGAAACGCTACAAGTATATTGCGATTTCGTGTTTCTCTGTGATCGCTTTGAGAATGCTGCAACTTTTTGAAACAGCAAAACGCACAGAATGACGAGTATTGGTCTCCTAGTTTGCATCACGGGTGCGTTCTGACGAGACCAGAAAACAGGAAAAGTAGTCTCATAATTCTGAAATTTGTAAGAAACAAATATACGTATGTACTAATAATGTGCCATATAATTATACAATACATAATAAGGCATCTGGACATCTCATGAAATGAGACTCACTTGCGGCAATGTTCGTCCCGTTTGCGACATGTTTACATTGTTTAATTATAAAGTATTTCAAATTAAGATATTTAGTATTTTAAATACTTAAAATCTAATACCAATCAAATCTAAACTATTATATATATGTAATCCTCCGCAAATAAAAATGCAATATTTTTCGTTTTGCATGGGGCTGAATATGGCAAATATATTTTAGTTATTAAAGGGGCAATACTGGAAATCGGGAATAATTCCTTAGAAAAACTTTAAAATAAATCGTTGGTGCCTCAAACCTGCCCCTAAGAATGGCTACGGCGTGAACTTACTTTTGTCAAAATACCGGAGCCTGAAAAAAATCACTCACCTAGATATCAACGAAAGAAGTGTCAGTTTCGTTCGACTGCGAGAGCAAAATTGAAGCTGAGCTAAACGGTTTTCGTTTGTCGTAAAATTGACCTCATTTAACTGCGCCATCTGGCGAATGAATCATTGTTTCGTGTCATATGATTCGTTGTTTTGTGTCACGTGACCTACCTTTAGACCTTTTGCCACCTATCGTAAGTTAATCGAATTAAAGTGAACTTTTTCGATCCAAGAAGAAAATTTGCACAAAAATTATAAACTCCGCTTGACACTCTATCGTCTTCTTGATGAGGCACATCGGAACTTGGGATTAATAGCCATTCAACCAAGCCACAAAAAGTATGTATATTAGTTGTTCAACATGTTCAATTGTGTTAATATTTCCCGGAACTCGGCCTTTAAATGAGATAATCTTCCAATGCTCATTTGTAATTGATTAATTATTAAAATATTTCAGGTGAGTGTAAGATTTTGATAAGCACACTCAACAGTGAAGTCTCGATTTTTATATTTAAAACTTGTTGTCAATAACTAATACACTGATAGATTAATAATAGTGAAAATCAGCCGGTGAATGTATTAATTTTAGTAAATCGCAAATTGCCATTTAAGATATAATTGTTGCTTACCTTCTCATCCGCAGACTTGTAGCATTGTAATTTTCATATCAATACTACCACTAATGATTACTTTAATTTATATATTCCTCCACACATTGCTTTCATCCTAAGCTTCCTGCGATTAATGTCTAATGTAGTCTTCTTCATCTATTTTAGTCATTTGTAAAACCCGATGTCCATGTCAATTATTCTAAAACTACAACGATGATTTTTGCTGTAAAATCCTTCTTCGTGGGTGATTTTTCTCGTTTTCTATAAAAAACATCGCATAAGGAATAATTTTCGTTGTATTTCACCGCCCTCTAAAACTATCCATAACCGGTATCAGGAAGTCACCTGTCATCAACTTCCTATGTTTGTATCCCTAATAGAACATTTGATTAACGATTCATCCTACTCCGAGCAAATCGAAATTTTAACATGTTTGAGAAATACATTTTACCATTGATTGATTTATCGCGCTGATATGTATTTAAAAGTGCTAACTGTGATTAAGGAGGTCAATAAACCCATGCTAATCAGCAAAGCAATTAAGGATCAAAACGTTATGGGCATTAAATTAGATAGTGTGAGGATGTGCTCTTCTATAGGCAGAGTTGAAAGTGAAGTTGCTGGAAACGTGGTTGATGCAATATTTAATTAAGCTATAGACATCAATCATTATTAAATTGTTTTGAATGACATGATCATCGCCCTTCAAAATCCACATGTGAAGTCAAGGTTTCTGATGATTGATTATTATTGTCAATAATTGATGATCTTCTAGATGTGTCGAATGGCATTGACTTGTCACGGTATCTGACGTTAGAGTAACGTTTGCGTCATCCTTTTATATTAATTTTGTTGCAGTTGCAATATTATCATTGTCTCTTATCGTTTGAACCATCAATTGCCTTTGTCATCGCTTCTGAAACTTCATTCAATTTCATTCAACATATATTTTAGATCTTGTATTTTTGATATGTACACATTGTGTTTTAATTAAGGATATCTAGTTAACGATAGATTCGATGCGCTTATCAAAGTTGGAATATCAACTAAAGAAAATCCATAATGCTGTAATGGCTATTCTCCAAATCCTCGTTTTTCAAAAATAACTTGAAGAGTTGCAAATTATCAAATTTTATTAGAAGTTAGTTCTCACTGCTACCCACCTAGTTACACAGACGTATCGTCAGTGTATCATGGCTGAACTTCTTCCGGGATTTGAATTTGGTAAGATATTTTTATTTCTCGATTTACATCTATCCACGATGTGGATTATAATTTGGCTCGAAGTTATGGGAGATAGTCTAGTTTGAGAATGTGTCGATGGCTTTAGGTTTGGTATGTTAACGAAGACGCATTTCACATATTGCCAATATTACACTGATGTCGGTCGATCGTCAGTGTAACAAAAGCGAGGGATTAAATACGTGAATTGTGTCTTCGTTAACATATAAAACCTAAAACCATCGACACATTCTCAAACTAGACTATCTTCCTTACTTCGAGCCAAATTATTATCCACAACGTGACTCATAAGTAGGTGTAAATCGGGAAATAAAAAAATCTTACCGAAACCTAGTCCCGGAAGTAGTTCCGCCATGATACACTGGCGATACGTCTGTGTAACTAGGTGGGTAGCAGTGGTTCTTGTTTACTGCCCCTACTTACCTTAGACCTAAAGACAGTTTAAACCACTTTGACTCATATTTTAAACCAGTGTCTCCTTCTCAACCCGAAATCAATGGTATTGTTGATTAAACCACAGTAATGTTGATTAAACCACAGTGACGTTGATTTAACCAAAGTTATGAGGAACTACTCTTTTGCAGTCAGAACTTTGTTGTGTCATTGGCTACGACTGCATTTTTATCCCATCGAAGATATAGGGAACGCCTCTGTCCGTAAACTATATACAAAGGGGAGGGGAGGGGAGTGTTACCGGTAGAGAAAAGCTTTAACCCACTGTCGTGCAGTCATTAGCCTGCAGACCTGTCACCAAACAAGACCAAAGAGAAAGAATAAACTAAAGAGGACAAGAAAACAACAACAGAAACAAAGAAGAAGAAACTAAGAAGACAAACTAGAGTGAAAGAAAAAGACCAAGATTAAAAATAAAATTAGAAGTAAAAAGTAAGTAGGAAGAAACCAACAGCAACGACAAACAAATTTTCAAGCTGGACTGAATGAAGATTACATTAACAGCATAAAAATACGTCCGTCCGGTTGCTAACTCAAATACCGTTGGCCCGATTTTGTCCCTGTGGGAGTAGAAACTCAGCTGAAAAGCCGCTTTTCATTTCATTTTGCTATGGTTACCATTCAATATAACTCATGCGAAAATACGCTTTATGTGAAACAAAGTTCTTATGTTCTGGTAAAAAATAATTCAACTTTGACGGGAATTCAAGGCCTTTAGGTAGTTGAAGCTATCTCGGCCTGAAAATTTACTTTAGGATAAAGTCAGTATTTTGTATTAAAATCTTCCAAGGAGGATTGGCTCCCAGAGTCGAAGTCGATATTTTTCAACAATGAAAAAACCCGAAATGTCGTTATTTTCTGAAATTATAACCGATTATTACCACCTTGCCGGGCCAGTTCTAGGGGTTTTAGTACTAGTTTAGAAGGCGTTCATTTTACTATATCGACCTGAGTAATATGTGACGACATAGTGGTGGTCAAGAATGCATTTCAGACCGGTCGAGAATGCATTTAACGACCGGCAATTTTCCCCGGGAAACTAGATATCGTTCAGTGCGTAAGATTTTCTTGCTGTATCAGTCCTGGTCGTTAACGGTGGTAATAATACTAAAAACGTTATTTCTGCGGGCAATATGTATAGTGAAATATTTCACTTTATTTTATACCTCAAATGTATTCTAGATATAGATGCTCATTGGCTTATTCATGGTCACATGACATATAATAGATGAACTAATTCCCTGGAAAGTCCTAAATCCCTGCTTTCAGGGAAGATGAATTGTACTAATCACCAGTTAAGTCATGTGACCAGTCAATAGTACGTTTCATCTTTCCCCAAATCTGAGATTATAGGAGTTGAAAGGTAAAATGCCTTTAAATGCCAATAAGAACCTGTGAACATTTGATATTGAAATGAAAAGACTTCTCATTTTGTTTGTTTACAGAGTACTTATCAGGTATATAATAAAACAAATAGTGACTGCCACATTTTCGGGAAATAGTGTAAAAATTTTCCTCTCGAGAATATCCTGTCCACTGACTTGTTCCTTCGGCCTGCAGCCTCGGGAACATGTCAGTGGACAGGATATTCCCTTGAGGAAAATGTTTTTCACTATTTCCCTCAATGGCAGTCACTATTTGTACAATATTGCCCCTCGAAATGACGTTATTGTAATTATAAGTTCATAATAAACATTTCAAAAGATTCGAACCAATATCTCGATCATTTCTTGTAAGTTTTGGAATTTTATGTTGGGAAATAAGCCCAAAATTCACAATTCAAATGTCGAAGTGAACAAAATGGCGGCTGTTGGAATTCAAAGTACCACGACATCCCCGTATATGGGACAGAATATCGATGTTGCACTCTGGGAGCCAACCCTCCTTAAAAAATCTTCCTAACATTATTCTGCCTCATATTCAGGCATAAAAATTGGTTGAAAACAATTTGGTCTCCCATGTTAGGGTATAGGCGAGTACGGAATTTGGAGGATGATTATCTCAAAAACTGAACGATCAGGCTTTTGTTTTTGCACAGATGAGTTTATTAAACATAGTTAATTTTAAGAAAATGAAAATTATAGGTCACCGACTTCTTTTTTTATAAAGTTCCTCGAATGGATGATTTTTTACCACGGTTTTGCATTTTAGTTCAATTTATCGAGTGATTAACCTCAATAAACTTGCTTTTAAATTTGCTCTATAGAAAAAATAATGTGTTGCTGTGTAAAGTATTCTAAAAATCTT